GCATTGTGGCTGCAATGAATAAAAGCAAGCAGCTCCAGCTTCTCGAGGGCTGCCCTCTGGCCGGTAGAGCCAGGCAGTCACCTAGCTGCTCTGACACTGCATATCTGTGTCTGAGTACTCATTTCTCCCATCAGCCAGGGTCTGCAGGACAGACCCAGCAGTGTGGAACATGGTCCTCGTGTACTAAATCCACTTCTGGATCAGGGCCGCAGGACGAGTTGAATCATGAGACCCAGCTCCAGGTGGAGTCATTCAGTCATCAGAAATACAGAAGTCTGAAAAGACACCTCAAAAGGCCAATCTTAGGTTCTAATTGTGATGTTATTTACAGGAGTAATTGGAGAAGTTACAAATCTTGTGACCTTCAGAACAATGACTGGTTATAATTTAGCTACACCTACATCTTACACCAGGATCTGTGCCCATATAAGGCAGTGAATACAATTGATAAATGTGAGTGATCCGAGTGCTCCACCAACTGGCTATTTTCCTGTCTTTTGCCTTTTCCTCAGGTCTCCATGTTCCCTGAGACACAATAATACTAACATTAGGCCAATTAGTAATCCTACAATGGTTCTAAGTGTTCAAGTGAATGGCAGAGTCGCATGTCTTTCACTTTAAATCAAAAGCTAGACATGATGAAGCTTAGTAACAAAAGCATGTTGAAAGCTGAGATAGGTTGAAAGCCAGGCCTCTTGAGCCAAACAGTTAGCTATGTTATGCATACAAAAATAAAGTTCTTGAAGGAAATTAAAAGTGCTATTCCAGTGAACACATGAATGAAAACAAAGCAAAACAGCCTTATTACTGATATAAAAAACATTTAAGTGGTCTGGATAGAAGATCAAGTCAGTTACAACATTTGCTTAAGCCAAAGCCTAATCCAGAGCAAGGACCTAAATCTCTTCAATTCCATGAAGGGTGAGAGTTGTGAAGAAGCTTCAGAAGAAAAGTTTGAACCTAACAAAAGGTGGTTCATGAGATTTAAGGAAAGATGCCATCTCCATAACATAAAAGTGCAAGGTAAAGCAGTAAATTCTGATACAGAACTTGCAGCAAATTTTCTGGAAGATCTAGCTGAGATCATTGATGAAGGTAGTTATACTAAATAGCATATTTTCAATGGAGATGAAACATCTTTCTCTTGGAAAAAGACGTCATGTGGGACTTTCATAGTTAGAGAGGAGAAGTCAAGATCTGGCTTCAGAGTTTCAAAGAACAGCTGACTCTCGTTAGGGGCTAATTTAGCTGGTGACTTTAAGTTGAAGCCAATATTCATGTACCATTCTAAAATCTAGGACCCTCAAGAATTATGCTAGCTCTACTCTGCCTGTGCTTTTCAAATGAAATGCCACACCTTGGATGACAGCATATCTGTTTACAGCATGGTTTTTTCTGGATATTTTAAACTCACTCTTCAGACTTACTGCTCAGAAAAAAAGATTCCTTTCAAAAGACTACTGATCATTGATCGTATACTTGGTCACACAATTACTTTGATGGAGATGTACAAGGAAATTAATGTTTTCATACCGGCTAACACAGTATTCATTCTGCAGCATATGGATCAAAGAGAATTTTGACTTTCAAGTCCTCTTATTTAAGAAATACATTTCATAAGGCTATAGTTCCCGTAGATAGTGATTCCTCTGATGGATCTGGGCAAAGTAAATTGAAAGCCTTCTGGAAAGGATCATCATTCTAGATGGCATTAAGAACCTTGTGATTCATGGTAGGAGACCAAAATACCAGCATTAACAGGAATTTGGACGAAGGTGATTTTAGCCTTCATGGATGACTTTGATGGGTTCAGTGGAAAATGAAATTGAAGATGTGGTGGAAATAGCAAGAGAACTAGAATTGGAACTACAAGCTCATGATAAAATTTGTACAGATGAGGAGCTGCTTCTTATGAATGAGCAAAGAAAGTAGTTTCTTGAGATCTATAACTGGTGAAGATGCTGTGAACATTGTTGAAATAATGAAAAAGGATTTAGAATATTACATAAACGTAGCTGATAAAACAGCAGCAATGTTTGAAAGGATCAACTCCAATTTTGAAAGAAGTTCTGCTGTGCGCAAAATGCTATCAAACAGCATAGCATGCCACAAAGAAATCTTTCATGAAAGAATGAGTCAATGAGGCAAACTTGATACTTGTCTTATTTTATGAAATTGTCTTAACTGGCCAGGTGCAGTGGCACACTCCTGTAATTCCAGCACTTTGGGAGGCTAAGGTGGTTAGGTCACCTCAGGTCAGGTGCTTGAGACCCAGCCTGGTCAACATGATGAACCCACATCTCTACTAAAAATGCAAAAATTGGCTGGGTGTCGTGGAGTGTGCCTATAAATTCTGCTATAGCAAGAGAATTGCTTGAACTCAGGAGGCAGAAGTTGCAGTGAGCTAAGACCATGCCACTGTACTTCATCCTGGGCGACTTCAGACAGAGTGAGACTCTGTCTCAAAAAAAATAAAAAAAGAAAAGAAAAGAAAAAGAAATTGGCACATGCCTTTGGCAACCATCACCTTGGTCAGTCAGCAGCCATCAATATTGAGGCAAGACCATCTACCAGCAAAAAATTACAACTTGCTGAAGCCTCAGATAATCATTAGCATTTTTTTTTGTTTTTAGCAATAAAGGATTTTAAAAGCAAGGAATGTACATTTTTAAAGACATAATTCTATTACACACTTAAAGGACTATAATATGGAATAAACATAACTTCTATATGCATTGGGAAACCAAAATATTTTTGTGATTTGCTTTATTATAATATTCACTTTGTTGTGGTGGTCTGGAACTGAACCTGCAAAATGTCTGAGGTATGCCCATAAAGATCATGAGCTTTGGATAACCCAGGACTAGATGTAAATCCTGGCTCTTCTAAGAGATGAAATGGACAAGTTCCCTAAAAACTTTAAACATTTTTTTTGCATAGGTGTACAATTTAGTTAATAATATATACTCTATAAGATTGACGCTTTCAGGCCTGTCATCATGACAGCTCTTCTCTTAGTAGTGTAATTAGAGAAAAAGAAAAATAAAGTTAGAAAGAACCATCATTACAAACTTTCAGGCGGCAACATTTAACGTCCTTCAGCAGTCTCCTCTCTGTTGTTTCCAGTCTCCTGTTTCACAAGTCATTTATAAGATGATACAAACATGACAGTTTTTCTGTTACCTTTCTAAAGTTCTTGTCCAAAAGCCGAATATACCTACACGTTTTGTGAAAGATATTCATCTGGGCGCTGAAGGAGCTATTCAGCTGAGCCTAATATTGAATAACTTAAACAACTTCCTCTTTGATATATAATAGTAGCCCCATACAGAATGTGCAAGAATATCCTCGACTAGAGGGCACTGCTTCAAGGAACATATCTCCTGAGTGTGGAGAATCTCTGATATTCTTGAAGGTGAACAGAAATGGGGATTGACCTCACAGCCTATCTCTTATCTTACATTCTTTATTTTCAGAGTCATGGACCTCCCCGAATACTGTAGGGCACCAGGGATGCATAATACGCCACAGTCTTTTGCTCCTTATATTAGGAATCCATCGGAGAAGCAGAGCCTCTGAATCTACATCTATGTCTTTCTATATCTATACTTATATCTATATCCATATCTTATCTCTATCATCTATGTAGATATTTATAAAAATTAACAGTGAATTTTCTTGGATGCAATCTGCCATAAAATAGTCAGTTTTCTCAAACCAAAGCAAAACCAAGTAATTTCACTTCCACTTACTCTCAGGGGACAATTCAGAAATACTTTACTAGGCCGGGCACAGTGGTTCACACCTGTAATCCCAGCATTTTGGGAGGTGGAGGCAAGTGATCACCTGAGGTCAGGAGTTTGAGACCAGCCTGGCCAACATGCTGAAACCCTATGTGCTTCAGTCCCCTTTCCAGGGGAGTGAACGCTTCTGTCCCACTGGCATTCCAGGCACCACTGGGGTATGAAAAAAAAAAAAAACCCTACAGCTAGCTTGGTGTCTTCCTAAATGACCACTCAGGTTTGTGCTTAAAACCCAGAGCCCTGGGGGTATAGGCACCTGAGGGAATCTCCTGGTCTGTGGGTTGCAAAGACCTTTGGAAAAGCTTAGTACTTGGGCCAGAATGCACTGTTCCTCACCACATAGTCCCTCACAGCTTCCCTTGGCTAGGGGAGGGAATTCCCCAACTCCTTGGCTTCCTGGATGAGGTGATGCTCCATCTTGCGTCTGCGTGCCTTCCAAGAGCTGTACCCACTGTCTAATCAGTCCTACTGAGATGAGCCAGTTATGTCAGTTGAAAATGCAGAAATCGCCCACCTTCTGCGTTGATCTCTCTGGGTGCTGCAGACCAGAGCTGTTCCTATTAGGCCATCATCTTGCCCTGGAATGTCCTTTGTAGGTTCTTAAGTATCTTTAAAGAGTAGAGAAGCATAGATATTCTAGATTCCTCTGAGGCTATATTTAATACCCTTCCCTTCAATGTCAGAACAGAAGTTTTTATTTTTTCATTTTCTAAGTCAGTCTCTTCCCTGAACTCCTTATCTTTTTCCTCCCATGCCCTTAAGGACTTTTCACAGTCTTTTATTTCATTTTTTCTCAACTTCAATCTTTTTTAAAAAACCAGTTATTTTCCTTGTTATTTAAATATGCATCTGATTCTTAACTATTAAACACAATTTTCTTTAATCCCCAGCCACTAATTTATCTACCATTCTTGGAATCATTTGAGTAGCCACTATCTTTTCAAAGACTGTTTTTAAAACCCTGTACTAGTGCCTCAAGATGAGTAAGATACAGTCTTCATCAAAGAGGCTTATAGTCTAGCAGGAGAGGCAATAATACCTAGATTTGGGTCTGCCATTATCAACTGTAGCAAATATTTTCTCTTTTCCAGCCTCATTTTTTTTTAAATCTGCAAAATGTACCTCATGGTTTAAAATCACTATAATTCTGTGCCTTATAAACAAATAATTTGATACAGTATTTAATAGGTAGCCATAATGGAACAATATAATTGCTTTGGAAATCAGGAGAAAGGCCACTTTTTGCTGTCACTGAGTGGAAAAGATGGCAATTTGAATCCAATCCACAAAATTCCAGAAAAATGTGAGTGAAGCTGTGGAGAACAAAAGTAATGCAGCATAGATACAAGACACGACATGAAACCTCGGGTGCCTGCAAAATGGTTTCCATCTGAGAGTCTTGGTATTAGATATGATTACTAATGCAAGCACACAGAGAGACAAAATGGCATAGGGTTGGAGGGAGACAGATGACTGGACAATGTCAACTTTTAGGCAGGAGGCAGAGAAAGAAGATTCATTGAGGAAGCCAGAGGAGGCTCAGAGTGTTATAGAGAAAAATCACAATATGTTTCCAAAAGCGGAGGGATAATTTATCTGGTTAAGTGCTTCAGAAGTCAAGGAGCATGAGAACTGGTTAGACCACCATCACTGATAATGTAAGAAGTCACTGGTGAATTTTGAACATGAGAGGAAGTCAGTTTGCATTGAGTTAAAAATAAGTTATCGAGAAAAGCAAGCTATGAGGCGATTACTGTTTTACGTGGCTTGTGATTAAATGGGCCAATTTCAGCAGCTGGCACAATGAGCAAAAGTTCCTCTCATTATTTCTCTCTTTCAAGGCTAGAAGCAATATTTCTGGATTTTTACTTGAGCCAGTTTCATTGTATCCCATTGCCAGAGATGTTTCATTGTTAGATAATTATTGTCAGCTGAAAATATATTTACAGAATTTATTCATACTAACCTATAAACTATTGTGGAATTCCTCGCAAGCTGCTGGTGGTGAACAAAAGCTGGAGGAATTTCAGTGTGTCCTGGAGTTGTTAATTTGTAAAATAAGTCTTAAGTATATCTAAGTTTTAAGTCACACTTTTACCTGCAAAACAGTGATTTCTAGGCAGGTGACTTTGCAAGGTGTAGGAATACCCACCTATTTTTTTTTTTAATTATTTTTTATCACCCAGGCTGGAGTGTGGCTGTGCAATCACAGCTCACTTCAGCCTTGAACTCCTGGGCTCAAATGATCCCCCAACCTCAGCCTCCTGAGTAGCTGCGACTACAGGCACTTACCATCATGCCCAGCTATTTTGTGTGTATGTATGCATTTTTAGTAGAGACGGGGTTTTGCATGTTGCTCAGACTGGCCTTGAACTCCTGAGCGCCAGTCATCCACCTGCCTAGACCTCCCAAAGTTCTGGGATTACAGACGTGAGCCACCACACCTGGCCGGAATACCGATCTTTTAAGTTTAAGAGCCAAGGATATTTGTAACGTCTGGCTGTTATAATCTTTTGTTATAAATTAAATTTATCTCCATCTCCTGTTACTAATCAAATAGGTAATGAGAACAAGTAAAAGTTTCAGAAGATAGTACAGTTAATCCAAAAAATTGCCCTTTTGTTTGTCCCAGGGCTTTAATAACTATGGTAATTAACAGCAACCATTTATTCAGCATTTATTATGTGGTAAACACTAGGATTGGAATTTTGTTGTCTCTATAGTTTTCACTATAAAGAAATTGAAACCTTGACAGTCAATACCTTGTCCAGAAGTCCCACAACTAGTAAGTGGTACAGGCAGGGTTAAAATTAGAATCTTCTAATTTTTTAGTATTCAAGTTCTTAATCAGCTCAGATTAGCATACCCCATGGGCATTAGATCCAACCCTTGGGCAGACATAGATGAAAGAAATTTGATGTAGTCAAATGATAGATATTTATTAGTAAGGGGGATTTGGTTTTAAGTAGCAGAAACCCACACACATAAACAATGAAAGGGGAACTTACTGGAAGAATAATGCCACATTTCAGGGAAGATTTGAGCAACCAATCTTCAGGAGCAACAAAAAATAGGGCAGCAGACTGGGCGTGGTGGCTCGCATTTCTAATCTACACTTTGGGAGGCCTAGACTGGAGGATCACTTGAGGCCGGAAGTTCAGGACCACCCATGGCAACAAAGCGAGACCCACATCTATAAAAAAAAAAAAAAACATGAATATGAAAGAAAATAGGTAAGTTCTATAAGTTAAAAAAACAAAATTTCTCATCCTCCTTTCTTTTTTAACACCATTACGTTGCTTTTCTCTTGCCCTTTGACTCAAATTCTTGAGATAAATTTTCTTGTACTGTATACTGAAAATGATTGGCTTCCAGTGGATCAGATGTCTGTTCTTTGTTCCTTGCCACTGGGCAGGGCAAGGATGTCATTGTATATTAGGGTTATAGATGATAATTTCTTCGCTCCGCAGAGCAATTCTGAGAGTAGGACAAAATTTGGGGATGTGGTGGGACAAATAGGACAATATTTAAAAATAAGACTGTCCAAGAAAATCCACTCTATATGATGGTAAATTATAATTTTTCGGCCTTTTTTGCACTTAATATTGGCATAAAGGAATGGTCAAGAGCCTACAGAGAGAGATAAATTTATGATGGGCTCTTTAACTCCTTTCAATATATGCTATGAGAAATGTAAACTAGGAAAATTTTGCTAGCCAGGAAGAGAGTTTCCTTTCCTATTTTCCCAGAAGAAGTAGTTGTTTTCTTGAGATCTGAAGGAAGGGTAGGGGCCAACTAGACAAACAGAAAGAGCATTCCACGTAAGAGAATAGACCCTATGGCAAAAAGAGATATGACATTGTTGAGGAGCTGTAAAGGCCTGTCTGTCTATATATAAAACACAGATGGCAAGAGGAACTGTCACACTGTCACATAATATAGCTCCTAGAACTTTGTTTCTTTTCATAAAGACACTTACCATAGTCACTATTATTTTAACTTTTATTTATGCAATTATTTAACTCATTTGTAGCTCTTCTTCTTGAGGTTAAACTTCATGTAGTTTCTGCTCACCACTGTATTCCCACTATCCAAACTTAGTGCCTATGACGTAATAGATGAGGCTAAACGCATAAGTAGGCTTCAAATGGTACAGGACTTATGGGCTCAGATTTCATTTTTCATTCTTAAGTCTTTCTTCAGAAATGTTACCATCTAAGGAGATAATGAAGCATATTTCATCTTTTTCTTCATTTAGCTATATTAGGAGTGTGGGTGTGCAGCAGTCCAAACTGTGTGTGTATGTGTGTGTGTGTGTGTTAGTGTATGTGTAGTGGTGGTGGCTGGATGAATACGAAGAGCCTAGCCCAATTCTTGATACATGAAGTGATGCTGGTGGGAATATAAATTAGTATAATGTCTATGGAAAACAGTATGGAGATTTCTCAAAGAACTAAAAATGGAACTACCATTTGATTCAGCAATTCCACTACTGAGTATCTACCTAAAGGAAAATAAATCAATATATCAAAAGGATACCTGCAGTCATGTTTATCACAACACTATTTGCAGTAGCAGAGATATGGAATCAACATAAGTGTCCATCAATAAATAATTGGATAAAGAAAATGTAGTATATATACCACAGAATACTACACAGCCATAAAAAGGAATGAAATCGTGTCTTTTTTGGCAACATAAATGCTGCTGGAGACCACCATCCTAAGTGAAATAACTCAAAAATAGAAAGACAAATATACCTTCTCACTCATAATTAACTACAAAATGTATATTTATGAATGTAGAGAGTGAAATGATGAGCCATAGAGAATTGGAAGGGATAGGGAGTAGGGAGGCAGACAATGAAAAATTACTTAATGTATACAATATACGTGATTCAGGTGACAGATACCACAAAACCCTGACTTGACTGGCATACAATCTATGCATATAATAAAATCATGCTTGTACTGCATAAATTTATACAAATACAAAAATAGTAATATAAAAATAATAAATTTTAGAAATAATGTTTACTAATTATGATTTTGTTCTCTTATGTGTTATAGGGGAGCTGAAGAAACCCAGAACAACAATTCCCAAATGCATATTTACTGTGTTATCTCTGGTGACTGTAGTTTATTTACTGGTTAACATTTCCTACCTGACTGTTCTGACACCCAGGGAAATCCTCTCTTCAGATTTGTATGCAAATGGCTAAAACAATAAATAAAGTGCTGGTCCTTTCAACATATCTTAATTATCATTTCAACAGCCAGAACCACTCTTTCCTGTTAATTATCGTACATATAGAACCAATTTATAATTTTCTAAAATAACAGAGGGCCAAAGGGAATGATTCGTCTTAGAAAGGAGATTCATCTTTAAGCATGGTTATGCCTTTTCTGATAATATGGGACGATGTATATAATGTTGATGTATGGTATACATCAGATTCAAAATATTAGTATTCCTTTCATGATCTTATCTCACCAGAGAGATACCGTGTAATCAGTGTTTACATCTATTTTTAAACTTTCAAAATGTTTAAGTCTCAGTGTTCTTCTAGGTGTCACAAAGAATGATCAATTTGAAATGTAGAACATTGGCAGTTAGAAGAGTAGATGCTGATGTTCAACTAATGCATATGATTAATATTGATGTGTAAAATAATATGGTTGTTTACCGTGAACAGCTCTAAAATTTATGGTGGCAAAGTGACCTAACATAGTGGAAATCTGACAAAAAATAGCTATCTTAGAGACCAAATTGTAGAATAAAGAATAAAAGAATGAGAAAATCTTAAAGAAATACACATTTAAAAATGAGTAACGGATTCAAAGAATAAAAGAAAATTTGGGAAAAAATGAGAAACAGGAAAAGTTGAAGACTAGAAATTTTCTCAAGCCAGCATTAAACCACTTCAGCAGAAAATCAAACACCGCATGTTCTCACTCATAGGCAGGTGTTGAACAACGAGAACACATGGACACAGGGAGGGGAGCACTACACACTGGGGTCTGTTGGGGGGAAATAGGGGAGGGACAGCGGGGGGTGGGGAGTTGGGGGTGGATGGCATGGGGAGAAATGTCAGATACAGGTGAGGGGGAGGAAGGCAGCAAATCACACTGCCATGTGTGTACCTATGCAACAATCTTGCATGTTCTTCACATGTACTCCTAAACCTAAAATGCAATTTAAAAAAAAACCGCTCGTGAGTTAAATCTATCACCTTTAGTACTTTTAGTACTAATCTAGTACTAAATCTAGTACTAATCTAGTACAGTACCTTTAGTACTTATCTCTTTTGAGCAGCTATTATTGTTTTGGTGAATCTTTGAGGCACAGAGATAAACCTAAGGGAGATTTTGCTATAAACTTCTGGTAAACTTTGCCTAATTCTTATGTTACTGCCCTGCAGGATGCTGCCATATGGCATTAGTGTTGATTCATTCTTGTCTAGGTGTCTTAGGTACCTATAAACTGGATGTAGTCAAGCTTCTGAGTGTCTGTGGGAACAAACCAAATGCAAAACCGGATCAGAACAAGCAGTGATTCATTAACTGCCTTGATTATGTAAAGAATAAATTTACAAAGTTAATTGTGGGTGTGGTCGGGGCTGCTGGTCAGCTAGTACAGCCGTTATAGTTCGTTGAAGCTGGCATCTGTCATGACTGACAGTGCTCCGGCCAGACAGGTTGTTGAAAAGTCATGAATATCTCCTTTGGTGTCATAATGGTTATAGCAGTTTCATAGGTGGCACAATAGTTTTGCCATGTGTGGAAGACTCATGAAGTGTTTTGACCATCATCACTTGTAATTTGGCTACGATGCTTACTATTTCAGCTATATAGTCTTTAGACTTTTTGTTTAAATTCTGAATTAATATTTTTGAGTCCAAATATCTGCATGTTTATTTTACAAGAAATTTAAATTAAGAAAATAATCAGAGCCATATGTGAAGAAATGTATGTATACGGTCAGTCATTATAGCTTTATGTATGATAGCAAAAAATTAAAAATCATAAAAATATCCAATAAGCTTGAAACACATAAAAATGTATGGGAAATCTATACTGATAGAACTTTCTGTGATTTGTAAAAGATGATATTGTTGATAGATACTTGAAGAAAAGGGACGTTTATAATTCAATAACAAGGAAAAAGTCAGGATGTATATGATGACATAACACAATAAATAAGTAGTTAACAATGGTGATCAATGGGGATGATATTGTAGGTGATTTTTATTTTATTGTTTGCACTAAATTTTCCAAATTTTCTTTAATGAATTGCAAAATTTGTAAAATAAGGGGGAAAGTTATAAGCAAAAGAAATAGTTGTTTTTTGTTTTGTTTTGTTTTGTTTTTTTTGAGGCAGAGTCTTGTTCTGTTGCCCAGGCTGGAGTGCAGTGGCACAATCTCTCTCACTGCAATCTCCACCTCCCCGGTTCAAGCATTTCTTGTGCCTCAGCCTCTCGTGCAGCTGGGATTATAGGCATGGGCCACCACCCCTGACTAGTTTTTCTATTTTTAGTAGAGATACAGTTTTGTCATGTTGGCCAGGTGGGTCTTGAACTCATGACCTCAGATGGTTCTCCCTGTTGGCCTCTCAAAGTGCTGGGATTACAGGTGAGAGCCACAAGGCCCAAATATAGGTTCTTAAATTGAGAAATTTTAAAGATTAAGTAATGCATTTTTTAAATAAAATAAGTATATGTTAAAAAAAATATGAAATGTTTCCAGACGAATGTAGAGCATCTAGTGTGTGGCATGTATTGGATGCTACACTTTATTTAAAAAATATTGAAAGAATTATACCAGGCTGTAATAAATTTTAGATTCTAATATTTGTGGTTTACACAGAAAAAGAAACAGTGGTATTATGTAATGTTTTTGTCTGTGTCTGTGTCAGAGCTCTGAATTGTTTCTTCACCTATTTTTCTCTTAGAAAAAAAAAATAGGCTTTATTGTGAATAAGTTCCACAACTGAGAAGGGAAGGGTGTTCTCTAGAACAAGGTGTGTGGAAATGCCTTAGTAAGGAGCCCTGGTTCCAGCTTTGAAAAGGATTTTGAAGAGAAAGTGGTAATTTTAGAATCTTTTATTGGTAAATTGATGCAATTATTTTCAGAGGGCAATTTTGTAATATCATCCTTATTTTAAAATATACGTACCTTTGAACTTGCGAGTTCCACTTCTAAAAATTTACTCTAAGGAGACTTGACCAACTACCAATAATGGAAAGCATGCATGTTTTCATTAAAACACATTTTATATTAGCCAAAAAAAAAAAAAAAATTGAAAACAAACTGAAAATAAAACAACATGAAATGGGTAAACTAATTGACAGTTACATAATGGAATACTGAGAATCTGCTAGAATAATTAGATGCATGTAAATGTACTAATAAGAGCAAGATGCCTAAGTGAGCGTACACATACATGCACACTCATATACCACCCTAGCAGATGCTTATACATTCATACAACATTTTTGGAAAAGGATCCAAACAGCTGTAAATAGTAGTTACATTTGCTGTGGGTGAATGAGGGTTGGTGAGGAGAGGGATGTTTACTTTTCACTTTATGTGCTTCAGTGCTATTTATTGTACTTTTCACCCAAAACATACATGAGATCACTTTTAAAAGAAAAGAAGCAACATGTGGAAAAGAGTAACAAAGAAAAAAAGTCACCTGCGGCATGGAGCTAAAGATAATGTAGAAAGAGGGATAGTTCTTGCCAGCCAGCACTGGCAGAGTTGCACCTGATCCTTCTTCAGTATCATTAACATTTTATGCTATGTAATTTTTTGTTGTAGAGAGCTGTCTCATGCATTATAGGATGTTTAGCCACATCTTTGGCCTCTACTCATTAGATACCAGCAGCAACCTCCTACCTCCCCGCTTGTGACAGCCAAAAAAGTCTCCAGACATTGACAAATGACCCTGAGGAGTAAATTCACTTCCAATTGAGAACTACTGGTCTGTAGACAAGTCCCAAATGTCATACATATTTTTAATGGTGTGTAATTTATTTTCTTCATCTACATGGTTTCTTTTTCTGTTAAGCATTTCAAATTGCACCATGATGTGGGAAAGGCTCATTCTGGTGTCAATAATGTTGCACTGTGCTTTTTGGACTCTGAATGTAACTATCCAGACTCAATAAATTAGCTTTAGAAAATAAGCATGGATTCAATCATCTATTCAAGAAAAATCAATTCATTTCTCGAGTATTTTCTGAAAGCCTACTATATGTCTGTCACAGAGTGATGCACTAGTTTTATAGAAAAGAAATGGATTATCCTTGTTCTCAAAAACGTTCTTGGTCTACTGGGGAAGACATATAAAATGATAACCATTTATTAGATAGTGTGATAGTGATCAAATAGACACCTTTATAAGGTGTTATATAGGTGTAACTAAGGAAATAACAAACAAGCAAAATTAAATATTATTAATTACTTGTTTCTGCTTTTATTTTGAAATAATATTTAAAAGTATATCATTAGTATCTCTCTTTTAGCACATTTTCTTTTGTGTACTTTTGTTTTTCTGCAGATGCTGTAGCTGTCACGTGGGCTGATAGAGTTTTTCCCTCATTACCATGGATTATGCCTTTTGCTATTTCTACTTCATTATTTAGCAACCTTCTGATTTCTATATCTGAATCATCGAGACCAATATATCTTGCGAGCCAAGAAGGCCAGCTGCCTTTGCTATTTAACACACTTAATAGACACTCCTCTCCATTTACAGCTGTGCTACTACTTGTCATTTTGGGATCCCTTGCAATTATCTTAACAAGTCTAATTGATTTGATAAACTCTCTTTTTTTCATGAGCTCTTTTTGGTCTCTATTAGTAATAACAGGAATACTAAAGTGGAGATACCAGGAACCCAACCTATCTATACCTTATAAGGTAAAATTGGATTTTCTAGTTCTTTTCTGTGAGAAATAAAAGATACTGTGCATAACCGTGTTTAAGATTATAATCAGAACCTCTATAAGCAGATCTTTTGAATACTCAGTTATTGTGGAACACATAAGAATAATCTGCTCTTGGTTTTAATTTTAATTTTTATTGGCTAGGTGACTCAATATAAACTCTCTTAGATTCCATGTAATGATTTATTAGAAAGAAAAGTAGTTCTTTGGGTGGTCGGACAGATCATTATGAGTATTTTGACCAGATATCATTTTGTCTACTTATGTCACTAGTTATGCATATGAATGTCCTCCACAGTCGGAGTCAGACTTAGCTGATGGGAAACAGAAGAGGCAAGGAGAGGTCACAAGTGGAAACATCTGCTATTCTGAAATATCACCTTACTTTGTTGGCAAATTTCATCTTTTCAACTTTACTTATTTTGAAATGATTTTCAGTCTGAATGAAAAAAATTTTCACAGGAGAGGAGACCACCACTTAATTGTAGAAAGGAAAATAAGCAGCAAAAACTTGGTGGCATAAGAATGTTATTGGAGAAAGATGGCCCTGATAGTCTGGTTATCAGAATAATAAAATAATCTTGGCTGGCTAGGTAGGATGTTCAAAGCTTTGCTTGGATGATCACCTTTAATCCGCTCAGTGATTTTTTAAAAAGGTGGATTCTATTGTTATTACAGTTTTACAGATTTAGGAAAGTTAGGTCACTTACCCATGTTCACGCAGCATGAATTAGAGCCAAGATTCAAATTTAGGCAGTCTCTTTGGAGTGTTTGACTCTCGCTGAAAACAAAATATAAAAAAGAACTGCTGAGACAAAGAAAGAAAGAAAGAATGTTCTTCTCATCACCATCTATGGTTGATTTATGTTCATCCTTTCTTTCCAGTCTTCTTTTCAACTTCTTCCATCCAGTCATCTCTTAATTGTTGTGTATTTGAGTATTAGTTGCCAAGAACCAACTATATTTTAAGCACCTTGCTGGGTTCTCTGAGTAGAAAAAAAAATTAAGACTTGGCTCCTGCCTTTGGGCAGGTTATAATCTATTTGAACAGTCATGTAAACCAAAAATCATGGTGTGATGATTGCTACCTAGTGGTCTGCAGAGGATGCTCAGAGAACACATAAGGAAGAGGGATCTAATCTAGAGCAGGGCTGATGGCCATGATCCCTTTTGGAGGTGCCTCCCCAATGTCTGCTCTCTGTACAATTTCACATGCTGCATCTTTTAAATATGTCTTTGCTGTTTTCTGATCCACACTTTTGTTAGATTCCTGACCCTAACAGATACAATTATAAAGAAGTTATAAACTGGAGGATAAATTTGTTATAAACAAATAACAGTATAAGCTAATCATTAAGAGCTTTGGGCTCAAGTCTAGTTACTTGGCTAGTAGCTGAGTTTAGTCTTGTTATTGAACCTCTGAACCTCAATTTCTTCATATCTGAAATGGGAATGTGTAATACCTACCTCCTATTAATGTTGGATGTACTAAATAAGCTAAGGCACTCAAACAATCCAGGGTCTGACATTGATTGCTATTATTGCTTATATTATTATTCAACATAGATTTGCATCAGAAAGGGATGCAAGGTCAGCCCTAACTATAAGCGGCTGAAATTTGCCTTGAATGCCCACAGGAATGCTTTTTTCTTCTCTTTCAATTATTTGATAACTGATACTGAGCCAGGAGACAATAAAGTATCTTTTTCAGGGATGCTTTATAAACTAAGAAGAGATTCCTTTTTTTTTTTTTTTTTTTTTTTTTGGAGACGGAGTCTCACTTTTGTTGCCCAGCCAGGAGAGGCTGGAACACAATGGTGTGATCTCAGCTCACTGTGACCTCCGCCTCCTGGGTTCAAGAGATTCTCCTACCTTAGCCTTCCAAGTAGTTGGTATTATAGGCACCCATGACCACACCCAGCTAATTTTTGTATTTTTAGTAGAGATGACCACACCCAGCTAATTTTTGTATTTTTAGTAGAGATGGGGTTTCACCTTGTAGCCCAGGCTGGTCTTGAACTCCTGGCCCCATGTTATCTGCCCACCTCAGCCTCCTAAAGTGCTAGAATTAGAGACATGAACCACTGCGCCCAGCCAAGAAGAGATTCTTAATGATTAAAACCCCAACAAATGATCCTCTAATTAAAGGGTTTTGTTTCATAAATTGTGACAAGCTGTGTTATATCTTTGGAAAACATAGATTCACATCAGTTATATCTTTGGGGTATAGATTCATATTGATTTTCTCCCTAGGTTGGGTAACATTGTAGAGAACTCATACAATTCTAACGCAAAGCAGGTACCAAGGACTGGTCTTTAAGGCTTTTGGCAAAACAAAAACAAAACATAAAATGGGGAAATTGTTCTAGCTAAAATTTTTGTCTTGATTTGTTTTGTTTGTTAATATGCTGAGTTCTATAAATTTATAATATTTACCTGTCAGTATCTACCTGCGTAACAGAGGATCTGAGGATAGTGTTTCTGTTCTGTCATGTGTTTCTTACTGCCTTGAGATATTTTCCAAAGAAGATTGTCGTTACTTCCATTGGGCCTTAGACACTCCCTCTTAAGCCAGGCATGGCAGCTCATGCCTGTAATCCCAGCACTTTGAGAGGGCAAGGTAGGTGGTTCAAGAGGTCAGGAGTTCAAGACCAGCCTGGCAAACATGGCAAAACCTCATCTCTACTAAAAATACAAAAATTAGCTGGGCATGGTGGTGGATGCCTGTAATTTCAGCAACTTGGAGGCTGAGGCAGGAGAATTGCTTGAACCTGGGAGGTGGAGGTTGCAGTGAGCTAAGATTGTGCCAATATATTTCAGCCTGGGCAACAAGAGCAAAACTCTGTCTCAAAAAAAAAAAAAAAAAAAAAAAAAAAAAAAAAAAAAAGAAAAGAAAAAAGAAATGATCTCTTAACAAATTCATGCTACCCAGATCAGCAAATAATGATCTTACCAGCAAACAGTTCTAGTTATTTCCATTCATGAACAGTCAAATGCTAGATACCCATGCCCTACAACCTGATAATGAGAGTCTTTAACATCTCCCACTTCACTCAGGCATTTACCTGAGTTTTAAGCCAGGTTTACTCAACTTTACAGCTAATTTAGCCTGTTTTCTTTTATTAGCTTGTACCTTTGCATTTTGATTTATATAAGTATGCAGGTATCAGTCACAGACTTTTATAACTAATTTTTAAAAAAACTTTGCTGTTTTCAGGTGTTTTTGCCATTTCCATTGGTAGCAATAGTCATCAACATGGGTTTGGTTGTGATACTATTGGTAAAGTCTCCAAATGTGTATTACGTCTACGTGCTTCTGTTAATTCTCAGCGGATTACTATTTTACATAAAATAAGGTTGGCTTGGTTTGAGAAGATTACTTGCTATTTATAATTACTATTGAACATTTGCCTGCCTGATGTATCTGAGGAACAGATGTCCAAAGTGCAGACTGTTAAACAAAATAGCCTTCTAAAAATCAGATTCCAAATCAAGGTTAAGCATAGGATAGAACATACATGATGAAATTCCTATGGTAATTACTTTTTTCTCAAATGAAATAAACAATGTATATAAAAGTGCCTAAGACAGTATCTGGCTTCAAAGTCACTAGGAAATTATTATGCATAACTAAAGCTTTGCTTTGTGTGGCAAAAAACCCAAGTCCTGATTTAGATAGCTTGATAGAGGGATTATGTATGTCCCATTCTCTCATTTTTTTTTTTTCTGTATCCCATCCCTTTTTACTGAATTTGTGGGGATCCTATAATAAAAGTGAATGATGAAAAATTTTAAAAGCATTGCTTCTCTTCATCTTTCCTGTGTCCCTTCCCCCCGCCCCCCCCCCCCCCAGTGGGCAGGGGTCAGGGAAAATGCTGATTTAAAGATGAACAGAAAAATTCAATTTTTTCCAGTTGGCTTTTCCCTTCTAGAATGTAGCATTTTCTTTCTTTCTTTCCTTTTTGAGATGGAGTCTCACTCTGTCGCCCAAGATCAGTGTCATGATCTCGGCTTACTACAACCTCCACCTCCCTGGTTTAAGCAATTCTCCTGTCTCAGCCTTCCCAGTAGCTGGGATTACAGACATTCACCACTATACTCAGCTAATTTTTTGTATTTTTAGTAGAGACTAGGTTTCACCATGTTGGCCAGGCTGGTCTTGAACTTATGACCTTGTGATTTGCCTGCCTCAGTCTTCCAAAGTGTTGGGATTACAGGCATGAGTCACCGCTCCTGGCCACATTTTTTTTTTTTCAAGCTAATAACTATTTTAGAATCATGGGGCTGGGCATGGTGGCTCACGCCTGTAATCCCAGCACTTTAGGAGGCTGAGGCAGGTGGATTACTCAAGGTTAGAAATTCGAGGCCAGCCTGGCCACATGGTGAAAACCTGTCTCTACCAAAAATACAAAATTAACTGCGTTGGTGGCAGGCACCTGTAATCCCAGCTACTTAGGATGCTGAGGCAGGAGAATCACTTGAACTCAGGAGAGAGAGTTTGCAATAAGCCAAGACTGTGCCACCGTACTCCAGTCTGGGCAACAGCATGAGACTCTATCTTAAAAAAAAAAAAAAAAAAAAAAAAGTATGAGTCTTAGGTTAATTTTCTTTGAGTGCCTTTTAAAAAAATGTTGATGTGTCTTAGAAGAACAGCATTACTGTGTCTCCATTTGGTTTATTAACAAGTGTGACCTACTAGAATTATGTGGTTGTATACAGTGTGTGTAATAGATGGCTGAGTGGATAGCATCCCAGGAGTCACACTCAGCCAGTATCATTCAATTTAAAGAATTCATCTGCGGAGCTTAGAGTTGTAAAAGATCTGGTTTAGAGATGTCTTCAGAAAGTGAGAATGTGGGAAGATGTGGGAAGATGTCCAGTGACCTTCATTATCCAGCTCTTTTCCCTGTCTCCGTTTATCCTTCAGAGGTCGCATCCACAGATGTCAAAGAACTTGCCAAGTTGAGGAACTCTCCCCTGGTGTGATGGTTAGTTTTATGTGTCAACTTGGCTGGGTCATGGGGCCCAGACATTTGGCCACACATTATTCTGGATGTTTCTGCAAGGGTTGTCTTTGAATGAGATTAACATTTAAATAGTTGGATTTTGAGTAAAGCGCATTGTCCTTCCTATTGTGGGTGGGCCTCATCCAATCAGTTGAAGTCCTTGCTAGAACAAAGACTGACTTTCCTGAGAGGGAATTCTGCCAGTAGATGGCCTTCAGACTTGAACTGCAACATCAGATCTTCCATAGGTCTCTAGCCTGTCAGGGCACACTACAGATTTTGGACTTGCCAGTCTCCATAATTCTGTAAGCCAATTCCCTTAAAATAAATTCTCTCTCTCTCTCTCTCTCTCTCTCTCTCTCTCTCTCTCTCTCTCTCTCTCTCTTATCCATATGTACTTCTATTGGTCTGTTTCTTTGGAGAAGCCAATAACGCATCCGAGTTAGCAGGGTAGATAAGTAGACAGCATACTACTTATTTATTCCTAAGACAGTTGCCTTATGTGGGCCTCACGGTTCAACATTCCCTTTATGTAAACCTCCACTACATTTAGACAGCTGCCCAACTTCCCTCTTTCTATGAGCTTTCAACACACTTATGCGGCAAAATAGTTCCTGAGCTAATTTCATAGAAGCCATTCACATTTTATAAATTCAGGATCAGATCTTCAGATTCTGGAGACCTGGAAGATACTTGAATTATAAGTGAGAAGAACCAAAGATTCGATTGACATTAGATTTAGGAGAAACCTTAAATGTTTACAATAGCCCCATAAAGTAACTCACTCATCTGTGTGTATACTCCCAGGGATGGGGGAATCACTACTTGCTAAAGATGCTGGTCTTATCTTTGGACAGCTTTGCTTTCCGAGAGCGTTTTCTAATAACATGAAGCTGCAATGCAATTTCTATCTATTGGGTAAGTCTAATCTTCTTTCACATGACATTCTTTTAGATATTTGATGATAGCCATTTTGTGGCTCTGTGTCTTCTCCAGATTAAAATCCCCCAGTAGTCTAAAGTTGCTGCTTTTGAAAATGCTGACTCCTCCACACCTTGCCAGGCCCTTGTTAATGTAAAATGTCTTAAATTTTTATGCTGTAAACAATGCGGTTTTCCAGACATGGTCTGACTATGGCAGAGCAGAGTGGAGTTATCATTTTCTTTGTTTTAAATATTCTAGTTTTGTTCACTATTTTGGCATCACTATACACTTAAATCTTCTAAATCTTTCCTGTAAGTAATGGCTGAGACATGCCTGTTCTGAGACTGTGTGGGACATTATGTTGGCAAGTCTAATAGATCAATACAATTTCTCAGGGAAACTTTTGTTCCACAGCAAGGTAACAAGAAATTGACTGATGGTAGCAAGAGAGAGGTTATAAAATTTCAAGACTTCAAGGAAAGTCGCAACATGACTTTCATTATATTTTTTTTGTATTTTATATTATTTTTGGAAATAAGGCCTTATAAAATATTTGTGTGATAAATATTCTGCTTTGCAATTTTTTTGCTCTACTCCTAAACACCAGTAATTCACCTTCCTGCTATATTTCCTTTAAGAGGAGTCTATTGGGAAGCCATCCATCAAGAATTTCTTTGATGACGTCAGGCAAGGATTTATTTGCTACACTCTCTGAACTGAGGCTAATGGTGCTTATCTATTTGACACAGGTGCTGTGAAGATGAATGACTTGTGTGTGACATACTTTGAAGTTGAATGTAATCACTTTCTTATTGTATAGATAGGGCCTCCAAAGTGTTATCTCTTGTTTGTATCATGAAATTTGCAAAGCACACACTACCTGAAAAGCTTCTACCTCCTCTCCGTTCAGAACAGGTTTATTTTTATTATTTTATATATATATATATATTTTATTGAGGCAGAACCTCATTTTGTCATCCAGGCTGGAGTACACTGGCACCACTTTTGCTTGTGCAACCTCTGCCTCCCAGGCTCAAGTGAGCCTCTGACTTCAGCCTCCCAAGTAGCTGGGACTACAGATGCATGCCGCTAAACCTGGCTAGTTTTTTTTTTTTGTATTTTTGGTAGAGACTGGGTTTCGCCATGTTGCCCAGGCTGATCTTGAATTCCTGAGTTCAAGCCATCAGCCTGCTTTCACCTCCCAAAGTGCTAGGATTACAGGCATGAGCCATTGAGCCCAGCCCGGAACAAGTTTAAATAGCTTCGTGAGGTTGTATTCATTTCCTGGAGCTGCCATAAGAAATTATCACAAGTTCAATTGGCTTAAAATAGCAGATATCTGTTCTTTTGCAGGAGGTCAGAAGTCCAAAATCATCCTAAGCAAATTAACGCAAGAACAGAAAACCAAATACCATATGTTCTCACTTATAAATGGAAGCTAAACATTGGGTACTTGTGGACAGAAAGATGGCAACAATTGACACTGGGGACTATTAGAAGTGGGAGCAGGGAGAAGGGCAAGGGTTGAAAAACTAACTACTGAGTACTATGCTCAGTACCTGGGTGATGGGATCATTTATACCCTAAACCTTAGTACCATGCAATGTACCCAGGCAACCAACCTGCACATTTACCCCTAAATCTAAAATAAAAGTTACAACAGAAACAGATACAATTAAAAACAAACAAACAAACAAAAAAAAACAAACAAAAAAAACTCCTTCTCCTTTCTCTCATAAGGATACCAGTCATAGGATTTAGGGTCCACTCCAAATCTAGGATGTTTCTGTCTCAAGGTCTTGAACTTACATCTGCAAGGATCCTTATTCCAAGTAAGGTCATATTCTGATGTTCCCTATAGATGTGTTTTTAAGAAGGCCATTATTCAACCCACAAAACTAGGTCCTCCTAGTTATCCAATTCCATTCCCAAATCATGTGGTGGCCTTATTCAGCCATAGAGGCCAGTTCAAGAAGGCCTCCCTGATTTTGCTTCCCTCTGTAGGTTGTAACTCATCTGCATGTTGGAGTTGGAACTAAAATATGAAATCTGGAAAAGCCTCAAACTTCATCCCAAGTAGTACTGTGATCTTCCATATTAACAATGTCTCCTAAAACGTCAGGATCAGTATTTCAAAAGAATCTTTAAACTAGACTTGAGAAACAGCCAGGTAATCTCCAGAGCTGGATTATTCTGATCTTGATGCCAGGACGGCCCAGTGGACAAAGATTATTAGGAATTCTTGACAATCAGGAACTTGGATGTCGCTATTTGCGTCATGTTTTGTTATATTGACTAATGATGTGGTTGAGAAGGAAATAATTGTACTTCAGTGAATCTGTTCACATCTTTCCATTAGGCCTAGGCCTTTCTGAGATGACTTCTCTCTGAGTTGCTGCTTGTTCAGTACCTTGTATATGAAGCCGGTAGGAAGAAAAAAAAGTCACTTTGCTTAAGTGTCAGCGCTGTGCCAGAGGGTTAGGAATGCTGGAGGACTTCCCAGAATACAGCATATGTGCTTATTTTCAAGCATGAGAAACAAACTACTTGAATGTACAGAAGTCACAGTAACTTTATAGAGAACAGAGTTTCAGAATTGTAATTCTAAGTAATGGACTTCTGTTACTTTAAGGTGAAGGAAAAAATAAGCATCCCTTTATTTAGCTGTAAAGCGAAAGTGGGTTATTTCTCAGATCTTTCCCAGGTGTAACAAATGACAAGCATTCTTCTTCTTCTTTTTTCTTTTTTTTTAAATTTCAAATTGTATTTTAAATTAAGAGGTACATGTGTAGGTTTGTTACATGGGTATATGGCATAATGCTGGGGTTTAGGGTGCAATTAATCCTATCATGTTGATAGTGAGTGTAGCATTCAATAGGTGGTTTTGCAGTCCACCATCCCCTCTCTCCCTCTCATCTAGCAGTTCTCATTGTCTCTTGTTCCTCTCTTTATGTCTATGTGTACCAGTTGTTTAGCTCTCACTTATAAGTGAGAGCATATGGTATTTGGTTTTGCTTTCCTGTATAAATTTGCTTAGGATAATGGCTTCTAGCTTCATCCATGTTGCTGCAAAGAACATAATTTTGTTCTTTTTTAGGACTGCATAGTATTCTATGATGTATATGTACCACATTTTCTTTATCCAGTCCACCATGGATGGGCATTTAGGTTGATTGTATGTCTTTGCTATTGTGAATAGTGCTGTGAAGAACATACAAATGCACGTGTCTTTTGGATAGAATGAATTATTTTACTTTGGGTATATACCAAGTAGTGAAATTGCTGAGTTGAATAGTAGTTCTCTTTTAAGTTCTTTGAGAAATCTCCAAACTGTTTTCCCCCATGGCTTAACTAGTTTGCATTTCCACCAAGAGTGTATAAGTGTTCCCCTTTCTCCCCAGCCCTGCCAGCATCTGTTAATAACCACCATTCTGACTGGGGTGAGATGGTATCTCATTGTGGTTTTGATTTGCATTTCTCTAATGATTAGTGTTGTTGAGCATTTTTTTCATGTTCCCTGGCTGCTTGTACATCTTGTTTTTCTTCTCCTTCTCCTTCTCTCCTTCTGCTTCTTCTTCTTCTCCTTCTTTTTTCTTCTTCTTTTTTTGAGACGAAGTTTCACCCTTGTTGCCCAGGCTGGAGTACAATGGCAGATTTCAGCTCACTGCAACCTTCAACTGCTGGATTCAAGCAATTCTCCTGCATCAGCCTCCCAAGTAGCTGGGATTATAGGCATGTGCCACCACACCTGGCTAATTTTTGTATTTTTAGTAGAGACAGTGTTTCACTATGTTGGTCAGCCTGGTCTCAAACTTCCAACCTCGGATGATCCACCCATCTCAGCCTCTCAAAGTGCTGGGATTACAGGCATGAGCCACTTTGACCTTTTCTTTTGAGAGGTGTCTGTTCATGTCCTTTGCCTATTTTTTAATTGGATTTTTGTTTCTGGTTCATTTGTTTATTTGTGGATTCTGGATATTAGACATTTGTCAGATGCATAGTTTGTCAATATTTTCTCCCATTCTGTAGATAGTCTGTTTACTATATTGATAGTTT